GCTCACTCTATGCCGCTAAAATGTTGCACGGGCTAAATGTTAAATTCCTTTACCCCCACCCCTTTACGGTTTCGTTTTGCTGCTAAGATGTTGCTCTCCTTTTGCTCTGCTCCTGGCAGTGATGCCAGTAGAAAGTTTCCAAGAACAGCCAGATTAGGCGGAAAACAAACTGAAGTGGCAGCCTTGCCCCGACAGCCAACGAGAGAGAATTCTGTTAATTTACGCTCTTTCCGTCTGGAAGAGAGCAGATCTGTTAAAGAATTTTACTTTCTACATGAGAACTTTACTTCCTACACGAGATCTCCACGCCATGTATCTGTTAACGTGTATAATGTTATCCTCGACAGCAGGATGTCAAATGTTAAACAACAGCGCATCGGATTTCAGAGTGACCAGAAAAAATATACCAAAAGAATACCAAACGAACTTCACAAAATTTTCACCGTCGATCACGTGAAGCAGTGCAAAAAGTTGCGGATTTTCTTTTGCTTATTTCTGTTGTGCGTGTGTTTAAAACAATGTGTTAACTAGTAAATATGGTGTCGGATGATGTGTTTTAACTGCTAATTATCAAATATCCTCGCGGGTGTCGTTCGTTTTGATTTGCAAGCGGAGAAAAGAAAAAGGGCACACGTACGCATATAAATGCATGTGTGTGGGTGACGCAAGTGCCGCAAGTGTCTCACTTTTTTGTTGCCTTTTTTTTCGGTGCTGTGCTTTGCCGTAAGGAAATAAATATGTTCAAATATTATGGAAAAGCGTGTACATATGCGAATGTGTGTATATAATTAGGAAGATAAAGGAAAATCTAAGTTCCACGCGTTTTACAAGCCAGCTGCATTCCTTCCAATAAGATCCCGTTGCTTTTGCTCGGTTGCCAAGTGAAGTGCGGCGCGTTGCCGTTTTTTTTTTTCGTTTTCTTTTGTGTTTTTTGGCAAGTGAAGTGGCGCTAGTTCTGAGCTGCCGTTTTTTGTGTTTTCTTTTGTTTTTTTTTCTTGTGCTTTGAAGTGCCTAATCAAAAATCACAAATTATGTGTAATTATTGGAAAAAAAATAAAATATAAATTCCCAGTGCGTGTTTTTTTTTTAAATATTTTTTTCTTGTGTTTTTAAAAAGCCTAATAAAGGAAAATTGCATTTTGTTTATAAGCAAATGTCTAAGTGTTTTTGCTATTTTTTGTTGTTTGTTTTTAGTGCTGTTTTATTAAATAAAAATACCTAATGTGATAATTTCAATGGCAAAATCAAGAATCACAGAAAATAACCACGGTAAAGAGGAAAGAGGAAGAGGAGCAGAAGGTGAGTGCATGCCTATACATATGCAAGAAAGGGAGAGAGAGAGGGCTTGGAATTTTGTTATGTATGTATGTGTGCGTGTTCTAATAAGAGAGCACAGCAACAAGTGAGATTACTCTGAGAGCAGAACAAAATAACGGTAACTCTCATTTCCGAACGAAAGCGAAAGAAAGAGACAGCCTAGAGCAAGGACAGGCGACAAAATTTAACTAATAATGATCGCAAACAAAACAAAATCTATAAATATTTTGAAAATAATTTTTAGATTAAGGAAAAATGAATTTTTTTCGCGCGGTGCCTTTACTTTGTAGCTTTTCCTGCGCTTTTCATTTTTATTTCTTTAATCGATTTGCGTATTTCGGGCAGCGGTAATTGTTCGACGAACTTTCATATGGGGGGGGGCCCCTCCCACCCCCTTACCCCACCCCACTATTTTCCAACCGATTTGAATGTGGATTAAGTGTATTCGAAGCCAAAGAGTTTGTGTATAGCCCAAAGTGATTTGTTTTTCAGATTGCTGCCGCTGCTGCGGTTATCGAAGTCATCGTCGTCGTCGTCGTCCGAGTTTGAAATTGAAAAATACACACACTGAGCAAAAGCGGGGGGCGAAAAGGGGGGGGGATCAGACCTGTGTGTTGGCCAACTAAATCAGCGCACATTCCGTGGGGCAGCGGCAAAATGTGTAACGCAATCAAAGCCATCGCTTCCGGTTTAAGGCGCAATTAACTGCCTTGGATTACGCTCCTCTTGCCACTGCAATTGTCGGCTAGATCGGGCTTTTATTTTGCTTTTCCAGTTCCAGTTCCCGACCCGACCCGACTTCTCTATATATAGCGTCATGGTCATCATATCGCAGATTATCTGTGGAAGCATTTCATTTCACTTTGATTTCGTTACATTTACTTCCTTTCCAGTTTCAACATTTTCTGCTCGCTGCCCGCTGCTCTCTTAATTTTTAATTGGCACTTATAGGGCCCGTAAACAAATTTCTTTTGCCGAACCAACGATCAAATGTCATAATTTCTTCTCGCCAAACTCATAATTTGAATTTATTTGAAAGTTTTTCACGGCCTTAAACAATGAGGCTTTTTGCGACCGGAGGCGACTTATGGTAATTTATTTAGCGTTTTCTCGATTATAATAAGATGGGAACAAATTTGCACTTCCTACTGGAAGAAGGTCTCTATAATAATGGTCTTAACGGGGCTAACAAGACAATTGGAAAAGTTGAGCATCTGATTAACCCATAAGAAAGATTTCATTGCATTTTTTTGCTACAGATTTTTCAAGACTTCTTTGTGAAGAAATCTATTTTTTTAGGGATATTTATTGGCTTGTTAAATGGAAAATAAATATCTATGGAGAGATATGTTGTATGGTAACTTTTTGATTTTATTTCTAGGCATATTTATTGGTTTGATAAATTCAAAATAGAAAACTAGATCGATTTTTAAAACTTTAGGGTAGAAAATTTAAATAACTATTTTTTCTTGAATTTAATGTCCAATAAAAGACTTAATTATAAATAATTAAGCCCCTTCAAGCTTCCTGAATATTACTAATACCCAAAGAAGTGAACGCTAACTAAATTTAGGTAGGAAAGGCATGCCGCAAAGTATTTTAATTATATTTTTCAGGGTAAATTAACAGAGATGTTCTTTGTTAAATGATTTATTTCCCCCCCTCCCCGCTAATAGAGGAAATAAATGAATGGATCTCATCACAACATCTAAATTGGACCTCGCCTCTTTGAGAACTTCATTGAACTGTCCGAGGTACATTCGATTCGTCACTTCTTCGCCTAATGATCTCCCCCTAGAGAAGGGGCTCCTCTGGAGGAACAGGGACTGGCAACCTGTCTGGGCTTTTGGCCACTCACTAACCTCGAAACCAAGAGGAAAAAAAACGTTTAATTAATGATCTCGACTCGGTTTACCTGTGCTGGCTCGGGCGCTTCTTTTACGCCCATCTGCCACCAAAAAACAAAAAAAAAATACAACCATCAACTTCTATTTAAAATTAAATTAACCTGCTTAATTTGCCCCCACCCCTGGCGCAGAGACGCGCCCAAAACATTCACTCCCAAAAAGTACAAAAGAAAAAAAGAAGAAAATCGAAAGGCGCTACTAATCGCGTTAATGCCTATGGACTCGATGTATCTGCATCTGGCGGATACATTCGGACACTCGAGCGATTGCCCTGCATTTAACGCACAAAAACGCTCTTGTTTTATTTTATTTTACGGTTTTTTTTTCTCTCTCGGGGATTATCATTATCACCGCTGCTGCTACCCTTTCACCCTTCACCCGTTCCGATTCCGATTTGGATTTGGATTCGATTTTGATCGCTCAATTAGCGTAAAAGTAACATGTCAAAGCAATTAATCACTTTCTAAGGCTCTCAAAACAGAGATACATTCCATATTTTAGGCGTAGCCCGGTCCGCGAAAAAAAAAAATATAATATTATATAATTTATTTTTTCTTATGATTGCCAAATTAAAAAGCCTGTTGCTAGCTGTAAGTGTGTGTGTTTGTGTGTGGACAACTCTATTTCGCTATCGAAATCGCTGCGTCATTACTCGAACTTCAATTTCATTCATTCATCAATTACAATACAAGAAAAATACAGTTTTCGAGCGGTGGAAGCCTTGAATCTATCGGATACGTGTCTCTGTATCTGAGAGCGTAAAGATACATTTAAAAACTCAAATTCATCCATCTGTTTTTGTTGGTGGCCACATAAATGTTCGCCAGTTGACATTAAGTCGAATATTTGTTGATCCTGTGATGGTGCTTATTGTAATCAATTAAATTAAGTTGTACTTAGTCTTCATTAGAGTTTTGGCGAATTCATTTATTATTTTATGAGTGTGTTGATTGCGAGCAAAGTGGTGTGATTATGGTACTTTGGATTTTGCAATAATATGTATTTTTAGAATGGGTTTTATATGGATTTGATTGTGTTTTTTTTGTAATCCTGTCGAAGGGAGAAACTGGTGGTAATTTCTATAGGAAAATTTATTTATTTAAATTACCGTGTGAAATGTATTGAGGAAAATCCATATGGCCTAATATTTTCCTTTTATCCATTTATTGATGAAATTTATATTTTAAACTAACTTTTGCTACTTAAATTCGAAAATATAAAGCTTATTTTTAGACATTTTTAATTAAATTGTTTTGTGTTAGTTTCTTTTCTGTTTAAATAAAAGTATAATCCTAAAACCTGTTTAAATACCTCACACTATTCACCCTTGCAAAAATGAATGCATATTAAAGTGCATTAATATTTATCATATTGATAATCATTAGTTTATTTATATAATCACTTAAATTCCCTAGTTTACAAACTTTTTAAGAGTCTTCAAAAGCATAGGTTCCATAAAATTCTCTTAAATTTCACCTTGTAAGCCTAGTATATATCCTTTTACTGATTTTCATTAGTGAACCAATTATTTTTTAAATTAAATCTATAAATTACCTATTTGTGGTATTAAAAACTTATGAATGTTGGACATTAACTTTTATTTCACCCATAATAACCTATGACATGGAGTGAGCTTTATTTGGACGATTTAATCACTTTTATTGCATTAATATCTAATATATTTCAATATGGTAAGTCCCCTATGACTTCCATATATTTCCCTGGTTAATTTTACATTTCGATTTAATTAATTTAAATTATATTTTCCATACTTACATGCTTGGATTTTCCGATCGCTTTGGTAGCATCAATTTGCCAGCCTCTTCTAGTTTATTGAGCAGCTTTGCTCTAATTGCACAACTTGTTGTTGTTGTTGTTGTTGCTGCCACAATTGTTGTTGTTGTTTCTATAGTTGTTGTTGGTATAAAATCCGCACGGATATCCGCTGGCCGCTGGCAGGAAGAAATCACCATTTGAGCACCGTTTGGCTATTTTTTCCTATTTTTTTCATTTCTTTTCTACGGATGTTGATAACTCGTCTCGGCATTGGCCGTACAATATTATGGATTTGATCTTCTGGCTTCGTCTATCGCTATAGTTGTGGCTGCTGCTGCTGCTGCTGCTTCAGGTGTTGTTTGTTGTTGCACAGCACAAGTCATCCTGTGCGATCGAGGCGAAGATATATAGCATATATGTTATGGATGTACATATATAGCCAGGATAGCCGACGGCGCGTGGGAATTTAAGTCGCAGTTGTGGTTTCAACAAAGCATTTAAAATTATATTTTTACGAGTTTTCGTATATAAATCAAATTGAACAAGTTTCAATTTGGGTTTAGGATTTTTTTAATATTTAAAATTCAAGTTTTTTGAAAGGTTTCTTGTGGGTTTTTCGAGGCGTAATTGGATTTTTGTAAAGAATTTTGTGATTAGAATTGAAAGTATCCGAAATGTAAGGCTGCTTTTGTGGTTTATAAGTTTATTTAATAATTAAGTTAGGTGTTTTTTGTTTGTTGTATGGTATTGGTAGTTTAGGAGCTTTAGTTGTAGGTATTTTGTTAAAGGAAAGTAGCCACTTTGAGATGTATTTGCATTAGATTAAATTTTAAATCGAACTTTATACACTTTTTACACTTGGTCTGATTTATGATACAAGTTGTGTGCGGGGAATTACGTTTATTTTTTATAATTATATTATACATATATATTTCCCTATTTAATTGGCTTTAATTGACGATGTGTTCTGCGATGGAGTTGACATCGATCCGGTCGATCTGTCGTCGTTACAGCTTCCTCTCTAGTCGCGGACTATAATCTTTTCAGTTTTATAATTTCATTATCGGGAGAGACTGTCTGTTTAATGTCTGGCCATAATCATCGACCTGTACACATGTCTCGGAGTCGCCGTAGTCGTCGCAGTTTCCGTGCTGTCACAATTTGCATTAATTGCCTCTAAGCAGGTAGTTATCATTGATTTAGCACCGATCTGGGTTAGATATAGGCCATTGATATGCATTCTATATACGGGTATGTGTTGTTTTTCTTTAGTATCACATTATCTTCGGGCGTAGTCCATTAAGAATATTATTTACTGTTGAAATACCTTGGTGTTTTCCTCAGTAATTTGTGATTCGATTTTTGTAATGATTTTATGGTCTATTATAGGAAGAGTGTTGGGAGTTGTTAAAAGTTAGGAATTACATTTCGTTGCTTGGATTTTCTTTATAAAATCTTGAATTTACACATATTTTCTTTGTTGGTTGTTTTATCGATAGATTATCAAAATTTTCGATATATCCTTTTGCACTTCACTTCCAACGGTAACGGCAACGCTTTACCGTTATCATCACCATCATCGCGTTACGTTGCCTCTTGACGTTTCACGTTACGTGCTGTGTGTGTGGATTGTATATGAGAGGGGAGAATCGCGCTCACGTTACGTGCTGCAGTTTTTCCGACAAAGCGACAACACACGACCAATAGCTTTGAGACCGTCTCGCGGACTGATGATAGGCCACAGTCGCAGAGCCGCAGCTTCAGTTTTCGATTTCCTAATAACAAAAAAAAATACAAAACACAAAACTCAAAGAAGAAAAAACTAAACGCAAAATAGACGACGGAGCGACGTCTTCGGTGAGTGTATGGGTGCTCTGAATGAATACACAAACGATTGCCGATCTCCTCCAGTGATGATGACTCCACACGAAACTCGAGATCCACACGGGGGCAGAGCAGCCGGCTTAGGCAGCGACCGAGACGGCGGCAGCGGCAGCGACTGCGACGGCGACAGCGGCTGAGCTCCAACCTAGCGATGCAATAAATCGAAGCTAATACACTTCTTTCTTAATGTAGAGCGATACACACACACACACACACTCACACAGAGCACGAACGCCCAGACGGGTTTCGAACGGTAAATGAGGGGCCGAGCGCCGAGCGGCGTTCCACGATCCACGACCACGACGATGCATCCTGCCTTCGCGCGATTTACTCAATGAAAATTCCAAGACAGCTCGCTGCATCCGAAAACTGGGTGGAGATCTTCCGCCCCAAAACGAGTGGCGAGCCGAAGCCGCAGCTGCGCCACCCGAAGTCTGTTGCCCCACGAAGGCGTTGACACGAGCCCCAAGCCCGATCTCCGGCTTGCGTTCCACTTGGGTTCCACACTCGCCGCAATACAAGATCGAAAAAGTAAGCGTGAAGCAGTCGCCGCTGGAAGCCCCAATGGTCAATAGGCGGATGGGTATTCCAGTAATTAGACTTGGGTTTAGGGAAAGAGACTGGAAGATAGAGAGAGGTGCACTGAGCGAAAAAAAAAGAGGGATTGGTTTTGCAAGCTGGGATTTTACTTTATTCTATTGGGGAATATTGTAAAGTTTGGATTTATTTGTATCAGTTTAAAGATTATTTATTTGATTAGTAACTCAAATTTATATTGAAAGGGAAAACCATTACATTTTACCACAAAAACCGTAAAGTTTTCTATAATCACTAAGCCAAAAAACTTCCCATCAACGTTTTATGAAATAGGAAATTAAAATATATATATATTAAATACAAATTTTAAGGTTTCAGAAGCAAAAGCAAGAAATTAAATATATTTTAAAATAGTTTTCCTAAAGAAATGCAAACATTTTGTAATTGATACACTTAAATATCCTTTTTCCTAACCCAGAATTCAAAGAAAGCATTCACATACCTTTCAGTGTGCCATCTCTTTTTCCTTTTGGGGGGGAAAATGGGAAAGTTCAACGGGTTCTTTCACTGATCACAGATTAACATACGGTCAGAGAAGGGTCTCTGGTGTTGAGCTTGTGTGTCCTACTTGGCACGAGACTGGGATCGGGCATTTTCAATGTCCATGTCCATGTTCAAGACCATGTCATGTGCCTTCTTCTTGGCCACTTCACACAGCTGCAGCAGCCACTGCAGCAGCCACTGCAGCAGCAGCACAAAGCTCTTGATGTTTGCTGCGGTACCTTGGTGCCCCGATGTGGCTGTTGCACGAAATCGATCAAATCAAAAATGACTTTGTGAAGTGACTAACTGCCTAACTGCCAGCTGCCGTTGCTAGTTGCAAGTTGCAAGTTGCAAGTTGCTGATGTTGCAGCAACAGCAGCAGCAGCAGCAGCAGCAATTGCTGTCTAACAGTAGCTTGGCTGCTTTGATTTTTTGGCGCAAGTCCAAGTCCAAGACCGCGACCAAGTCCAAGTCCAAGTCCAAGTCCATGGACATACAACACTTCAAAATGAAAGCACATTCCCTTGTAGAAATTGTACCGTTAGAGGCACAGGTACAGCGCACCCCATGCACATCAGGTCGTCTGCACAGCAAGGAAAAATTATAGCAGAAGATCCAATGGATAAGAGATGGTCAGTTTGCTGATTTTTCTATAGTTTTCTATAGGATTTAAGAGCTTAGAAGAGGATCAAGCTGGAACTACTGAATGTTTCAGAGAAAAGAAAGCCTTCTTCATCAGTTTCTTATAAGCTTATTTAAATATTTGTAAATCCTTTTGAATTTTTGTAACAGATTCCTCTATAACCTTGTTAAAGAGCAGCTTTATTTGTTCATCAAATATTATTAAAAATAATATATTATATTCCTGAAAAAATGTATTTTTTGCAGCATAATTTTGATGGAGAACTGGAGATCCCTATTTAGTGTAATTATTTAATTTTTTTTCCTGTGTGCCCATCTGTCCGCAACTTGAGCTCCTTTCCTTTCCCCGTCCAGCTTCGTAGCAGCATCCCAAAAAGATCCAAACATCCAACTTCCAGCATCATCATCTCATACTGATGATCGGCCAACACTTGGCAGGTTTATGGCTTAGATATTTGCAAATCTCCAGGCTCCGCCACAAGTTGTTATTGTAGCTGTTCTCCTCTTGTTATTCCAGCTGATGATCCGCCATCATCTGGAGGGGATCTCCTACTCCGCCAACAGTCGTTGTTGCCGCTGCCACAGCCGCGTGCCACGCTCGTTGGTTATTTATTTGAGTCAATGAGTTCACAACTATTTTTCTATTTTTCCTTAATGGCTTTTCCTTTGGCTCCTCTCTCGGCTTTTCCTCTCTCTCTCTGCATTTTCCAGGGGGAAGGAAGCGCCTCGTTGTCTTCGCTTGATTGATGGTTTGATAATGTGAAGTCGGTTCGGTTCGGTTCGGTTCGGGGTATATATTTTTTTCGGCCTCCTCCGTGGAGCGAAGGATTATTGGTGATGGTCAGGGCCGCAAATGAGTTCAATTGAAGATTATCTTTTATTAATTAGCGAGGCGGCTGCCACGGGGGGAAATGTGGGTCAGGTTCAGGAATTTCAGTGGATTTTTGATAGAAGGTGGAAGGTGGAGACTAGAGAAGCAGGCTTTGTTAGGAGTTATGATCATGGGATATAGATCAAAGTTACATTAAACTTAAGCCATTAAATGATATTATCAAGATTTAAGAGTTTTAATGATGAATAATGATTGTAAACTTAATTAAATTAACTTATAAGGTTTTTTTAATAGATAGATAGAAATAATTAGAAGAAGAACTTATTGTTCTCCTTTAATTTTGATTTATTATGACATTTTAATGTCTTTAAAGCCTGTATTAGCCTCTATAACAACTATATATTAAATTAGACTCACCCACTAAACTCCCCCCCTAAATAACCATGGAATTCCAACTCTAGATCGATGATCACCATGTTGTTCGAGGCTTCACCTTGTCACCACTGAAATCATGTTCTCGTGAAGCAAAGAATTTGTTCCTTATTAACATTGTATGGTGGGAATCAGGTACATAAATACCAGCATAACTCCGAATACATATATATTTAATTAACATATATAGATCGCAAGTCCGGCACGATGCCTGGGCTATTATGCATAATTAAATTGTTCATATACGATAATTAGCCGCAAGCAAATAAACGGACAAAAAGCGGCGCTATTCAAATGGCTAAGTAAACGTTTAGTTTATGGCTTATACCTTTTAACTAAACGAGACAGCAACAAATAACAGCGACAGAGGTAGTAAAACCAAATAAACAATTTGATAAATTTATGCGAGCCACGAAAACATTGACAGAGCAAAAGCAACAACAATAATAATAATAATAATAATAATAAAAGAGAGGAAAGCA